TCTCCTCTCAAGTTCTTTCATTTCTTTTGCAATTGGACGGCATTGGTCTCAAGTTCATTCATTTCTTTTCGCAATTGGACAACATTGTACTTTCTGATGATTGTGGACTTCAAAATTGGCCGGGATCATAACACATAGCATATGGCGGTGTATGGTTCCATGTTTTCGCAGAAGATTCATTATGCCCGTGGCTCTCTCGTTTTTTTGTTTTTGCTTTCTTATGAATACTTCAAGTGGGGATGCACAAAAGACATAGCATATGGCGGTGTATGGTTGTATGGTTCCATGTTTTCGCAGAAGATTCATTCTACTAATATTATATACATTTGGTGAGTGGTGGAGGGAGGCCCTGAGAATCACGTGTAGACACGAACAGGGTCTACCTGAATTGGTGACCCATAACTGCCCAGCTACAGCCCTGAACTCGAATCCACAGCATATATTGGTGGTCTGCCCACATCTCTCCCACACGTAACGAGGTCATCCTTCTCGTTGAAGCTGGCCGTCAATGGCTCCACGTGTATTGTAGGAGTAATTCGAGGTACCTGCGGGGGGCCTCGAATTGACGTGAAGGGGACCTTTTGTTCTCTCTCTCTCTCTCTCTCTCTCTCTCTTGGGGCCTTTTTTTTTTATCGCGCACAGGGCGCAACTCCCTCAGCGCGCGCACCGCGCACAGCGGACCGCACTGGGTACCGCGCACAGTGCGCGCGCTGTCGTTCCAACGCACAGCGCAGTGCGCACCGCCCCGCCCCGCACTGCGCACTGGTGCGCCGCAACTATGGTTGACAGTCATGTAGATTGATCTTTGAGAGTCGGAGTGAGCCTGTTGCGTGAACTAGGATAGTTCGGCAGAGTAGGTTGGGTGCTGGGCGCCAGACAGAGAGGAGCGGCTTTGGATTCTGCGTTGGTGTGGCCTACGGGCTTGAACATTGGCTCATTACTTCATTGTATTGCGCTATATGGATGGTTTCACGGTGCATTGTGTACTCTCTGCATGCATACGACTACTCGATGTCTGTGTGATTTCGCAACATTGGTTTTCTGTATATCGTTCACACTCATATTCCTTGCAACTCCATGGTATGGTCTTATCTGCAAGCAGACCTCCTGTGTTGGTCATTGTTGCTCCTGGCAAAGCTGTATTGGCAACACTGACTGGAACTTTTGTGATATTGCCTGTCCCTTCCACGTGAATTGTCTGTCTGCCTGGAAAAGGGGCTGGTGACGTCAGCAGCTTTGGGCCCAGAGTTCTTTAAACTCCGGGTATTTGAGGATCCACCGACGATGTAAGTAAAGCGCCTTGCCTTGATCATTGAAAATATATGATCTGCTTGTTAGAAAGGAATTGGAGAGGTCTGTGATTTTGAGCATTGTTGTAAGTGAAGTGTCTTCTTTGATCTCACAAGTACATGTTTGCTGGATGGATCTGTGATCTTCAATTTTGAATGCTGGTGACATCAGCAGCTTTGGGCCGGGAGTTCTTTAAACTCCGGGTATTTAAGGATCCGACAATGCAAGTAAAGCGCCTTGCCTCAACCATTCAGAAGATGTGCTCTGCTAGTTAGAAAGGCATTGGAGAGGTCCGTGATTTTTAGCATTCTTGGATGGTTCTGTGATGTTGAATTTTGAGTGTAGTGTTGCAAGTGAAGTGTTTTTGAATGCGCTGTTTCATAAGTAGAGCATCTCCATCATTTGCAATTGTACAGGATAGCTAAGTGCACCTCTTCTTTTTTGGTGTTCATGATGTGGCTTTGTTTAGTAGCATTTCTTTCCACCTTCAGTTATACATGCTTGGATTCCTGGATTTGTAAAAGGAGCTCTGGATTGTGCTATGGTGACCACAGAAACGAAGTTGAATGCGATGGTTTGCGCTTTAGTTGTGTTTGTCTACTTTCGGCTTGGCGCAGGGTTGAGAAGGGTATGGCATGATTGTTGTGTGATGATGGTTCATTTCTTGTGGGTGCACTTTCTGTCCCGCTCTGGTACCTTGGTCCTGTGGTCGGCTGGGTTTCTTCCATGGGTTTTCCCGTATGCTAGTTCTCTTCCTTTTTTTCAATGGTCTTTCTGTTTCTCTTTTATCCACTTCTTCGCCTCTCGTTTGGTGCTGAGGGCATGAGTGGCAGAAAGAAATTAGAAGGTTAAACTACCACTACTTCCGAGCCTGGTACTGCACGCCGAGTTTTGCCGAGCCTGGGTTTTGTTTTGTTGTTTTTCTGGTACTGCACTGAAAAAAAGAAAAAGAAAACATTGTGTTGCTTTCCAAAAGAAAAGAGCACGGCTCACATCCACCCGAAACTGAACACACCCCTTCGGACGCGATATGGGCAGACACATATCCAAAGTAGCCGTATGCCCTCAAACATACCCCTTCGGACGCGGTAGGGGGCAGATACAGTGTCCAAAGTAGCTGTATGCCGTCAGTGAGGGCATCACAGCAGTCGCGTCAGGTCCCTAGTATGAGGGGGGGGGGGGGGAAGCCACGAAACTGAACTTAGGGCCGAAAAGCGGGATGATACAGGATGCCTAGTAGTGGGGGTATGCTGTTCGTTACACTCTGTCAGCAGCCCGTTGACTGCGCTGTGCCCAAAAAAAAAATCAAGAAAAATCAAAACTGAACTTAGGGCTGAAAAGCAGGTTGATACAGTATGCCTGGCAGAAACAGGGGTATGCTGTTCGTTACACAGTGTCAGCAGCCCGTGGACTGTGCTGTGCCTTGCTGGCAGGGCCATAAAAGAAAACGACATGGCAAGAAACAAAAACACAAGCCGAAAACCCTGAAACTAGACATAATAACAGTTAGATGCATGGATGTGACTGTTGATGTGAGCACAATAGTTCACGGCCGTCCCCAACATGGCTTCCCACGCCATAGTGTCTTGTTTTGTTTTTTCTCCCCCTTTTTACAAGTGGGGCCATAAGGCCCAATACTTCCCTCTTAGTCGGGCCTTCTCCAGACCCTGAAAAATGCGTTGTGACGTATATTCCCGTTTTTCCCAGCAGTGCCAACACTGAGAAAGGTAGTGGTGGCTAAGAAAAGAAAGCAATGTGACAGATTGAGACATTGCCATTTCGATGGTCTGGGTAATGCATGAGAAAATTACCCCATAACCGAGGGGAGAGTCTGTCATGTAGCCTTGCAACTGGGGTAGTTCAAAACGGTGCTAGTGCAACGAAGATGTGACCAGTGGTAATCTTTCTGTCACGGATTGGTTGAGCAGGGTTATTCACAGCAGCTAGTTTTCTTGAACTGCGGCTTGCCATTTTTTTTTTTTTACTGTCCTCATCAGGCTGCATTTATGCTCCTGTACAGCTCTGCTTGAACGTGGATTAAGTTCCAGCAAATAACTGGCTTTTGCAAACTTGTGCAGGAATGCTCTTCGGTTTGCAGCAGCGTTCTTTTCAAAGCCAGGATTCCAGGTAAAGTGCCTGTTCTTTTGCCACACTACTTTTGGCTCTATTTGAGTCTATTTTCATGCAAGAAGGTCAGGCTTTAGAAACCACACCAAAGAAAAAGGGCTTCATCTTTCTATAAATAGGGAAGTCCTTCCCTTATTTTCCTTGATGATCTATGCTAATTTCCTAGTAGCTTCTAACTTGTGCCGATGATTGTTGTTCATCAATAGCATAGTTACCTCAGAAAATCGGAAGTCAAAACTCCATTGTTACCCACAACACTCCATTATTATTGGTAGCTGTATCTGGAATGTGGGCCTTTCTGGGGCACTGCTGTTGCTCTGATGTCACTGTGCTTGAGGATGCTACATCTTATCATTTGGTATGCGCACTCTTTGGCTTTTGCGCTTTCGGGCGTCTTGGAGTGCGTGAGTTGCTGGATTTCTGAGTACGCAGTTATCCATATTGGACCAGCAGTGATCCAGAATGACTATTCACAAAACTTGTGCTATATGTTTAAGGGTGCTAAATTGTTGGTTGGGCATTCCAAATGAGGCAATGTAGTTACTTGGTGAAGTATTTTGGAGGCCTAGCAGCTTTGTCCACTTTGGGCATTGGTAAAGTTTTCTTTTTCTTTTATTTGTGATCTGTAAGTGGTGGCCGTTCTTAGTGTCTGATTTTGTATACGCGTTTGACTGGCAGGTGATGGATGACTCAGGAGGACTTTCATTCGGGCTTCGTGAGAGGCTTCTACGGTGGGTGATTCAAGCGCTTGTGCCGCAGGTAAGATGTTCTTATTGGATTGTCCTGTTACTCCACCTGTTATTCTTTTTTTGACGAAAAAATTAGGTGTTCCCGCACTCTCTCAGTTGCTGCCTGCACGGGCTTACCTGTTTTTTTCTGATGTTGTTTGGAGGCGACAAGTACTGGTGCAGGCCGGGTGAGGAGGGAAGAAGAAAAATAAGAAGAAGAAGAAGGGGAAGAAGAAGGTGGAGGAGGAGGTTGTGCAACTCGAGATGCACTGGGCGACCTCTCTTGTTTCGGTGTTTTTTTACCTACTTTGGACTCGTTTGGTAGAGGAGGTTACGCGGCAAGGGAAGGAGGAGGAGGATGTTGTGCTTCTTCTTTTCTGGTCCTGCCTTCTTGCTATTTTCCTTGTGTATCACCTCCCCATCAGTGGTCATAGAACATCTCTCCTGACCTCTGTTTCCAGATGGTCCAAAGTGTGGCCTCTCTTCAGCATCGGAAACAAGGTCCCGATCAGATTGACTGGGATGAACATCTGCCTAAAGTTGCCAGTGCCTATAATAACTCTGTACATCTATCTACATGTAAGACTCCTATGGAGTTACATCTGGGATGGCGTCCACGCAGACCCATTGATCGGTTGAACCCGGATCAAGTACATAA